GCGCGAAATTTTGTTAACATTTGTTTGTTTGGCGTCAATTTTAATATGGAGCCCACAAAGGAGCATTTTCGTGATATTTTACTTTATTATTTCCGTAAAGGAAATAACGCGGAACAGGTTGCTAAAAAGTTACGAGATGTGTATGGTGATGAAGCCTTAAAAGGAAGACAGTGTCAAAATTGGTTTCGCAAATTCCGTTCTGGAGATTTTTCACTTAAAGATGAGCCACGTTCAGGTCGGCCAAATGAAATTGATGATGACCAAATCAAAGCATAAATCGAATTGGATCGTCATGTAACTGAGCGTGAGATAGGAGAGAAGTTAAATATACCAAAATCAACCGTTCATTATCACATAAAAAGTCTTGGACTGGTGAAAAAGCTTGATATTTGGGTACCACATGTATTGAAAGAAATTCATTTGACACACCGAATCAACGCTTGTGATATGCACCTTAAACGCAATGAATTCGATCCGTTTTTAAAACGAATCATAACTGGAGATGAAAAATGGATTGTTTACAACAACGTTAGTCGAAAACGATCATGGTCCAAGCATGGTGAACCAGCTCAAACCACTTCAAAGGCTGATATCCACCAAAAGAAGGTTATACTGTCTGTTTGGTGGGATTGGAAGGGTGTCATATATTTTGAGCTGCTTCCAAGGAACCAAACGATTAATTCGGATGTTTACTGTCAACAATTGGACAAATTGAATACAGCCATCAAGGAGAAGCGACCAGAATTGGTCAATCGTAAAGGTGTCATATTCCACCAGGACAACGCTAGTCCGCACACATCTTTGGTCACTCGCCAAAAACTGAGTGAGCTTGGCTGGGAACTTTTGATGCATCCACCATATAGCCCTGACCTTGCACCATCAAACTATCATTTATTTCGATCTTTGCAGAACTCCTTAAATGGTAAAACTTTCGGCAATGATGAGGCTATAAAATCGCACTTGGTTCATTTTTTTGCAGATAAAGGACAGAAGTTCTATGAGCGTGGAATACTAAATTTGCCAGGAAGATGGCAAAAGGTTATCGAACAAAATGGCAATTATATATTTGATTAAAATTCAATATATATATTTGTCTTATTTAAAAAAAAATCGCAATAATTTCGGTTTGAACCGTCAAGCGCTTTCCCCCTCATTCGCGCCTATTATAGACTGATTTCACGAGTGATATACGAGTATGTAAATATGTATATGATATCGGTGGTTTAGCAATACTATGTTCACATTCTATTTTTTTTCTTTGATATCTCATACATACATATTTAGTGAATGTATACAGCAAGAGTTTAAAGCTCAGAACCTAGATTAAATCGATTCCAAAATTTTTCCGCAGATCGTTAGTTGAGAAAATAAGAGCTATAATTCTACCCTCGAACTATGCAACCTAATGAAGGACTTGCAGCTTCTTTTGCACTTACACACATACATAAATATCTCCAAATGGACATACATACATACATATGTATATGTTATGAATCCTTTAGCACAAGGCACAATTGACGGTCAACTTGCTTTGTCTCTTTCGACAGTAAAAACGTTAATTAACCACAAAAGTCTGTGTGAGTAATGAAAATTAATCCATTCTTGAAAGAGCATAACCAAACAACAAACGAATTTTTCTATATGTATGCATGCACAGACATATTTCCGTATGTATATGTGAATTTGTACATATATCCGTAGAGCATTCAAAACGTGGTGAAGCTTAATCTCTCACCCATTTGTTTGTGGCCGAGTCACGCATGCGATGACTGTTTGTTTGATGACTGCAGATATTTCGTCTTGCCCTCATTCACTACGAGACCCATTTGCTTCGTTGCTTCGGGTCTGGAGAAAGCAGAACTCACGTCGTGGTTGAATGCCAATACCATCGGCGTATGACAGCAGCAGTAGATTCTTATAGAAGATTGGACCTTCCCTATTCAGCTCTACAGCTCTTATTATTCTCTCCAGCATCAAATTAAAGAAGTCACACGATAAGGAGTTACAATGTCTGACACCTGCTTTGGCATCGAACGTCTTGGAGAGCTCCTCACCAATTCTGTCAGACTTTTTTGATGTTGCTTAGCAACACTCTTATTCGTGCTATCGAATGCTGATTTAAAATCGACGAAGAGTCGGTGTGTGTCGCTGCTTTTGTTTACGGGTCTTTTTCAAGATTTAGCGTATAGATTCCACACTTAGGTATCGTCGAGCATACTTTCGTCTGACCATGTGTTACAAAGAAGCTTATGCATGCACCTTATCAGCTCTTCACCGTCCTATTTGTATAGCTCGACCTGTAATCCATTGGCCACCGAAGCATTGTTTTTTACAAGCGGGTGATTACTATTCGGACTTTTTCTCCCGCATATTTTCGAGCATTATCTTTGACGGCCAGTTTCTTAAGCTCTGCATACTCCCATATCTCGGCCTGTTTCTGTTTTTTTGTTGCGAAGAAGGCAACCGGATTTCTCTGCACTGCGAAACGGCAGTATTCAGAGTCGATATTGGGTCACCGGAGTACACGCACGCCAAATTCCATTTCTTCCATCTATCACAACTAATACTAAACGTCCGGTAACTAGCACATTTACCCTACGCCCTACGCTGTGAAGGTGATGAAATATGTACATATGTAGGGTGAATGAATTAGTTTCCGGACGATTAACTTGATCCCATTGGTAATTCGATGGACTTGTTCTATAGCAAATACATACCTACATATATCATTTTCGCTTTGTAACCGCTGAAGCGACTTTCAGCCGAGCTCCTCCTCCGATTTGTTAATATGCGTCTTAATGACTTTCCAACATATGGAGGGACCTACAGACCTGTTTCGTATGCATTTATTTTTGATATAACAGTTTTGATTTATTTTATTTTTTTGGGTCAAATATTTTGGTACAGTCCGGTACCTCCTAGTGGTGCCCATTCACTAACACACTTGCCCTAAGCACAGTGAATGAATTAAAACTAAACATAAATCTTTATTAAATTTTCAACTTCTTAGAATACATATGTACATGCATATGAAGTAAATACATACGAGTACATATTTACAAACTTACCTATAAACAAAAACTATATTATACTTCAATCAACAATCTGTGCGGAAGCCACGCAGCAATAAAAAAACAGAACAAAAAATTTAATGAATTGAAAAGTAACTACAAACATAAAGCAAACTTAACAGCATACAAATATACATAAATACCTGCGTACATATATAAATAAATATGCACGTATGTAACATATAATGCGCCCCACATAAATCTCCACATTTATGCTCACTGCCAGTTTGCGTTTTTCCTTCTAGCACGCGTATTTACGGCTGTATATGCTGATATATGTACATATATGTATATGTATGTATGTATGTATGTGTGTACCTCACCTTTTTCATTTATTCATTGGCACCAACACAGCATGGCAAACAACAAACCACAATGTATACATACATACATACATACGTATGTAAATATAGATACTTATTAAAATACGCCCCAAAATTCATATATATATACATATAAACATGCACACTCAACTGTGCAATTGTAGCAACAACAAACCAAGTGCATTTAAAACATTTGGCGTCGTGTTTACTGTTATAAGATATATGTATGTACATGTATCTACACACCAGCAACCAATCAGCGCTGGCCCACAAAGCCAATTTTATATCAACAACACACAGTCACCGTACATCAAGTGGGAACTGCGGCGAATGAAACAAAAACAACAAAAGCATGAAGTGAGTACTATAAATAGGTGCATACATATAAGCATATGTATTGTATATGTATTTGTTGTTATGCTTCGCTGCTGCTTACGAGCAAAGCAAAGTCGTGGCATTGTGAAGAGCTCGCCGCTGATTGGTGGTGGAGCTGATAGGACAACAACATAAGGTTGAGCGTAAGAAAATAATGCAAAAAGAGTTTGTAATAAACTTGAATGCTGCGAAGAGCACACTGAGCGTAAACAACGATAAGCCGGCTAAAAAAACGTTAGCTGAGCTGGCTTATAGAGCGGCTAACAAATGTGAAGAGTGCGACACTGCAAGTTGCTGAATTTCCTCAGAGAGCGTAAAAAATGTTAAGTGCTTGTGCGCAATGATTTTACTCAAATAAAATGTTTTTTTATCATATTTTTTGTTCCTTGTTTAAAATTAGTTTTTTTTCTCTAATTTTAAGTTTTCTTATCAAAAGCAAACATTTTCAAAATCCGCTGCTCTTTTTTTTTTAAATTGCATTTAAATTTATTTGTTTTTTCAGCTTTTTCGTGTGTTTCTTTTGCGATAAGTAAACGTCAGTCTTTTTGATGAGCATTGATTGTTGTTGCTATATTTTACGGCGTCCGGACTTCCCATTTTGAGTTGAGAGTGCATATTTATTTACGTGTTTGCTGTTTTTTGTTTTGTTTTGTTTTTGAGGGCATCAATACAATGAATGCTCTGCTCTCTTGCTGGGCTGCGAGCTGCTGTTGTCGTTGCTGTCGGTGTTGCTTTTGGTGTTGCTGCCGCTGGCCCGTTTATTGCTGTTGGGTTAACCTACTGCTGGTGGTCACGGCAAGTGCCAGTATCAATTTTGTTCGGTTCTTAATAACATCGCAGTAGCGTGATCGGTTTTATACTTACATACATACATACATACATATGTACGTAATATCGAGCAGTCGGACAAATGGACGTGGTGATTTCTTTTATAAAAAAATGAAACAAAACGAGTAATAAATTTTTGCGCGTGGTATGAGTAAGCTGTAATCGCGAATTGGAAAAAAAAAATTGGAAAAAAGATGAATCGCGCGCTCAAATTAAACAACAATAATACACTTACGCACATGCTATGTGTATAACAAACATTTAAGAAAAATATAAATAAAGTGTGCCAATAAGCTGCGTAAGAGCGTGTAGATCAAAAAGTGTGCGTTGAAGCCAAAAGAGCTTGCTAAACTTAAAAACTTTTTTTTTTTGTTAAAAACAACTAAAACTTACATATATATGTATAATTGTGAAAATAGTGAAAATTGCGCGCCAAAACGGTTAGTGAAATTACAAACAAAAAAAAAAAATACGGCGTTGAAATTTTATTGTTGTTATTATTGTGATGTTGTTAAATTAATTCCCAATTGTATACTTCCTCTGTACATACATACATATGTACACACAATCACCTGTATTACAATTCCTTGTTATTAAGGATTTACGATACTTTAGAACTCGGTTTCGATATGTCAGAATATTCGATTAAGTTAATATGTTCAATACCGGCTGAAAAGCATACATATTTATAATTATTTGAAATTTTCCAACTCAATAAAACGAAATGTTTTTTCAATAAAAGCTGTTATTTTGATATTTAAAGCATCTTTTCCTTTCGTTGTTTTTGTGTGCGGAAGAACACCATCCAATCCGGCCATAAAAATTAATCATCTCTCGCGATTCCTTCATTTTGAAAAAGTACGCCCCAAAGACCCCGCCGAACGATAAAACGCACCAAACAGTGACGCGTTAAGGGATAGAGAGGCTGTTCAACAAAATAAATTTTGGGTTTTCCAAGCTCCAGAAAGAATCGGACAAAGGATTTTATTTTACTTTTTTTCAAACAAAATTATCAAAAAAAAAAAAAAAAATGTTTAGCAAGTATTACAAAAAAATTTATGCAAAATATTCAGTTTTCACTTTTTTTTATATTTTTTCGTTCAAATTCTAGTTTGCGTTATTAACTAAAACGCAACCTTCTTTGTTTTTGCTATCATGAGTTCTACTGTCAACGCCGACATACCTTTTTTCCGAGTTGTCACTGGGATTTGCGTCACGGGGTTATGAATATTTTCCTTTGAAAGTGTCCGAAATTTTTTCTCAAAAGGATATATTCAAGACAGTTAACAGTGTTAGTTTGAATAAATTATTTTATTTACTCTAAAAATAAAACGGCTGAAAATAGATATTTTTGCACCAAATAAAACCATATAACCCCTTAAATTAAAAAAAAAATATATGATTTTGAAAAAAGTTCAATAAACGTCTTTCGATTTGTTCGTTAGAACGTTATTTCCAGTGTTATATCAGGACGAAACATTGCGAGTGCCTTCATATCTTTCACGATGCTCCAAATTCCAACTTAATAGAAATGGATAAGCATGGTTGGTCGAAAATAGGAAAGTGTATTAAAGTGAGCGAATTGGGTTAATTGGGTTAAGCCGAAGAGCGCATTGATCTTGCTTTTAATGGTGGCCGCCCAACGTCAGATCCTCAACCTGCCTTTGTCAACCAATCTACTAAGCAACGAATCATTACATTTGGATACCAAAGCAATCATGACTAAAATTCCGAAATGAGAAATTTCGATTCGGGCTGAAAAATTAGTTGTTGTTTTAGGGCAACATGTAGGAAAAAAATCAGTTAAAGGAAACTGTAATAATTTTAAATACTGATATTAAAGTTGCGGCGGAAAAAACTTTGAAAATATTAAAAAAAAAAAAAAAACTTAAACACTTTTTGCTCTTCTCCGATTACATCTACCTACCGCTGAAGTGTGCCCACTTGTTGTTTTTCCAACAAATGGAGGAACGAAGGAACCTACAGCTTATGTACTTATCCGCCTCTGAACGGCGAATGGATTTTGATGAGCAGCTTTTACTTCAGGACAAAAATACACCCTGCGGTGTTGATATTTCCTCACGATAATTTTAAAATAAATTTTCTAGAATTTTTCGGTCTGTCCGGAATTTGAACGCATGTATTTCTCTAACGCTTATCGCGATGTCGGTAAACTTTAACGTTGTAACATGCCTAGTGGAGGTCTATATTGTATGTATGCATTTGTAACTATTTGTAAATGTGTGTGTGTGTGTGTGTGTGGGTGTGTGTGTACTGTAATAATAAACTTAAAATAATATCAACAGCTTTTAAGCTTAGCACATGCTTTCTTGCTCGGCAATGTGATTTTTCCATGTAACTACATTTTAATTAACTTACATGCAAACATATGTACATATGTATGTACTATATGTAATTATTAAAAAAAAAATTACATTTTTATGAATAAACGTTTAAGTTAAAACTTATGAAATTGCTTTAAAGTATTTTTCACACTTTCGCATACTTACATACACACATAAGTACATACACGTATGTATTGTACTTATCTACAATGAAAATATTGTGAAATGTTTATACTCTATGAAATTTTCCAAGAGTAGGACAAAAATTTCATTTCTTCTTAAAAATGTTGTAATAAATTAATGGAAAAGTTCATTGCTTGTGTTATTTTTCATTTATTATTTTTCATAATTGCTAATTTAATTAACACATATGCATGTATGTATGTATGAATGTCATTATCACTTGAGCTGAAGCAGCTTGGCGCTAAATGTGATGAGCTTTTGTTTTCGAAGTCAATAATGACACATTCCACTAATGAGTATTGCTGCAGTATAAACATGCATATAAATGTTTTTATTTAAAGAAATTAAATTTAATAAAAAAAAATTGTTCATTTCCTAAAAAAATAATTTAAAAAAAAATTCAAATAATTTTTCCTGGATTTAATATTTTGCTCGCTAAAAACATTTTCATGAATGGAGCAACTTGTTGTTTTTTTTTTCAATAATTCTTATTTATCAGAGGTGATATTGAAAAATTTACAGTAAAACACTTTTTTGGCTTTCCAGTCTCGCGAAAACTACTTTGTAGAATCCCTGGCTTTTATATGCACAAATTATACGTTGGGTCTCCTTACAAGGCATCTCCTATTATTGACGGACACGCAGAGAGTCTGGGCGTACCACCAAATGATTTCTGCAGCAGTAGTGCGGTAGGAGGAAGAACCCGTGAGCTTAACGCACCTCCTTTGCGTCTTACGTGGAAAGAGTATGCTAAAGTTTCTAAGAGCAGCAACATTTAGAGACTTTAGTGAAATAGGTTTGCAAAAAATACTTAGATTGCTCTGTTTTTCCAACTTCACACGGTGGGTTGACTAGCGAGTAGGGTTAGTGTTACCACGCTGGCACCATTCGGTGGCCAAGGTGAGTTAATGCCACTTTAACATCACCGAATAGTTCTCGCCCTCTCGCTCATCCATTTCATGGCTCGTGAGACAACATTAAGTTTAGTGGCACCTGTTGATCTCCACACTGGATGTTTAGGTACTAACGGGTTTCAGATATACCCGGTGAAGCTAAATCATATCAGTGATATTGTGTATATAATACTCTACATGCCTTCATCCATAGCATTTGGTTTTGTCCTCGGAGACATTTACTTTTCGGGAACTTTATTTTTCAATTATCTTATTCTTCTTCCTCTTTATTGGCGTTCGCACTGCTTCCGCGATTATAGATAATATCTCTTCTTTTCACTGCTTGGCGGCAGTTGGAAATATCAAGTGAAGACAGGTCGCTCTCCATTTGGTCATCCTTCTAACGGAGTGGAGGTCCTTCTCTTCATCTGCTTCCATCAGTGAGTACTGTCTCTTCATATAGCTCGTACAGCTCATTATTCCATTGTCTGCGGTACTCGCCGTTGCCATTGCGCAAAGGATAATAAATCGTAAAATTTTTCTCTCGAATACTCCTAGAGACGATATTGCGTGGACGGTACGCTTCTGCGCCATATAGTAGGACCGGTATGATGAGCGACTTGTAGAGTTTGGTTTTCTTACGCCGAGAGAGGACTTTACTTTTCAATTTCCTGCTCCGTCCGAAGTAACACCAGTTGGCAAGAGGGATTCTGCGTTGGATTTCCATGCTGACATTTTTGTTGGTGTTAATATTGGTTCCAAGATAGACGAACGTTGCCGTGAGTAGATAACTATGACTTCAAAGTTTTGACTGTCAACAGTGACATGGAAGCCGAGCCGCGAATGTGACGACTGTCTGTTTGTTTCGCTTCTTTATCAAGTCAGGAGAAAGCAGAACTCACGGCGCTCTGCAGCTAGTATTATATTTTTAGATTCTGACAAAGTTTTTAATGTTGCTTAAGGTCAGTTTACACAGCCGTTTAAGTTTTGCGGGGATATCAAATTCAGACATATTGGCGTAGAAACAGCTTCTTCTTGTGCTGTCGTAGGTGGCTTTAAAATCGACGAAAAGGTATTGTGTGTCAATTCTATTTTCACGGGTCTTTCGAAGATTTGGCGTATGGTGAATATCTGGCCAATGGTTAACTTACCATGTTAAGAAGGCTTATTCCACGGCAATTGGCGCAGACTATGGGATCGCCTTTTTTGTTGTTATCTTTTTGGCAACACTAAGCAGAATTGTCGATTTTGGAGTGAAGATCAGGCAAAAACATTGCTAGAGCAACCAATGCATCCAGAAAAAGTCAAAGTTTGGTGTGGTTTATGGGCTGTACTTCTTCAAAGATGATGCGAATCGTAACGTAACTGTGAATGGTAAGCGGTACCGTGCGATGATATCAAACTTTTTTTTGTCCAAAATGCACGAGGTTGGCTTCAAAAAGACGGAAGGATCTTGCCATTTAACGCCTTTAGGCTATTTTTTGTTGGGCGACCGAATAGATAAAGCAATTTAGCACCCGTCTACTGTCCGCTGATGATGACAATATGTTCGGAAAACTCACAAACTCGCCAGCTTTACAGTTCCCATTGACTTCGCTGTTACTCTACACTCTTAACTTTAAAGAGAGGTAGGTTTGTATACATACATAAATGAACTGCTCCTCCGATATGTTACGTGCGCCATTACAATGTCTCCAACAAAAGCACGAGCTTTATCATATATTCCAAGCCGCCAAACGGCTGTTGAATTTGCAATTTATGGTGTCCGTCTTAATATTTTTCCAACAAAAGAGAGGCGCTATTTATCTCATGTAAAAAATATACTTGGAGAGGTTGACATTTCCTGCTTAGCTCTAGAAAAAAGGTAAATTGGTTACGATCGAGTTTACAATCGCGACTCTATAAGTCCCACAGTATTGCCGTCCTGATTTATGCTCCAGAAGCGTATAGGATGCCGAAATCCGATGAGTCGGCCTTGGGAGACCTGCGGTGAAAAGTTTTGCGAACGAAGAGGTTTACGATTTTACGATGACATCGTTATAGTTCAGCGAATTGATGGAAGTTTTCCAAATTTGAAAGACTTCAATAGAATAACACGCGGGTGGAAGCAGAGCGAGACCTTCATACTGTTGGAAAGACCAGGCGTATAAGGACCTGGCTGTACTTGGTATTTCCAATAAAAAGCATAAAAATTCAACTGCCGTTTCGAGGCTTAAAAAAGTATGTTCCTTTAAAAAAAGATCAATTTGCACGTTGCAAGCTGAAGGCGAATCTCAACCGAAGTGCCAACAGCAAAGCAAAGCTGGAAAGATTGGACATTTAAGGACGACAAACACAACGTACCCATACCCTACAAAAAATACTTAATTCGACTTGTTGTCAAGGATATTGCCTGCAATTAGAAACGCATTTGCACATAATAATTTTTGACTTGCCTTTTTGATACCGCGTTGTCTGGTGTAGCCAACGGCGAAGCGGCATGAGCGCAATAAAACGTTTAGTGCCAATTAATCAAGTTTAATATGCGATAGCTCACTGATGTTGATAAACACATGTGCACCAAGGTGATTAAGCTCAATCAATCCCGTAAAAGTTGGCCATTCGAGGAGAAATTGCAGAGATAATTCGCCTGCAAGAGTAGATATCATATATTAGCGCAGCATTCGACGAACTGAGGAATGGTCCACTCCTTGCAGTGGAAGACCACATTTGGCCAGAAGTATTTCCGTCCATATCTTAGACGGTAATATCACCTTAAGAGTGGCATTATTCGCATGCTGCATTGCATTTACCAGTGATATGGCTAGGATTCAGCATTTAAATAAATAAAAGTACCGGTAGGTACTCTTCGAAATATTCCCAAAAACAAACATTCGTTTCACATGCTCTAGAAGATGTTGCATTTATCGGTCCCCTTTTTCATATGGCATTTTCGGCACAATGACAAAACTTTGTGATTATACATATATTCTGAACCTTCGCATTATATATAGTGATTCACATACTATACCATTTAATGTACCTTCTCGATAATTTTTGCAAGCTTCCATCCATTTGAGGTAATTTTTGATCAGTTTTTGACCCACATTAGGCGGTAACTAGACGAATGTTGATTTTCGAGTGCCCAAGTGTTAAAGGTTTATCCGCATAAGCACGATTTTTCGCGTAGCCCGACATAAAATAGTCTAACGGTGTTGAATTACACGATTTCGGTGGCCAATTGACATCACCAAGACAAAAGATTACGTGACCGGGAAATTTCTGTCGCAATAAAGCCGTATTCGCTGGCGTTATGTGCCATGGGACATCATCTTGTTGGGACCACACACATTGTCCAATTCATTTTCTTCAATTGCAGGTCAAAAAAAAGTCCGTTATCATACGTCCATAACACTGAGAATTGACAGTGATGGTCTCATCGTTGTAGTTTTCGAAGAATTTAGGACCAAACACACCTCCGTACCAGATAGCACACCAGACGCATTTTTTTTTGGTGTACGCGGGCGTGGTAGTCGTAAGATTAGCAATGCGTACTGCCATCGAAAGGCTATGGCTCAAATTCTGGTACGACCAAAATCCAAAAATTATATTAAAATAAAAAATTAAGTTAAATTTTCGAGTACAGTCGCCCCTCGACAGGGAGTCACAACCCCTTCGAGAGTATTTCTGACATGTAGCCTTTATTCCATCAACCGTTCGGAGGTTGCTTAGTATAAACTGTAGATACCCTCCTTTTTTTTGGAGGATGAGCTCGGCCGAAAATGCTTCAGCGGTTATAAAAGCGCAAATTATATTACTATCCCGGAACCCCAAATGCGACATTTTTGCTTATAGACTCGCTGAATAAAACTTGGTTTGAAAATTCACCGTCCACCAGAAAACTTAAAATAACTTACTCTAAGTTCTCTGGTTCTCTGCTCTAAGTTCTCTGGTCCACCTGGTTGTTGTTCAAGCACCTAATCGACGTATCTACTGCGTTGCGAGTTCTCAGCTGGTTTCAGTTGTTCTGTTACCTGGCCTTAATGTGCCGTACAAAAGTCCGAGCTCTTGAGAACGTCGAGAAATAGCGATAATCTTTAAACAATTGATATTCTAAAATATCCTTAAATTTTTCCAATTTCCTGAGTGGTTGGACTATTATGTGAACCATAATCTCCGCTTGAAGCATGAAACGTGGCTACGTTTGAATCACCACCTTTGTGGTGGCTTTTAAGATTTTTAACGTGTTGTGCGGCTGTTAAGCGATGCCTTTTCAAATATGACTGACTTTTAACTAAAAAAAACAGTTTGGTTTGACTGCTAAATTTGACGGATGTCAAAATACAACGCTGTACTTATGAGACAACATAATGGATAACCCTATACCATTTTTAAGGCACTTAAAAAAAATTAAGACTTGAAAACATTTCTTTGATTTCGCTATAATTTTCCTTCTCTAACTGAAGAAAATTCTTATAAATTATTCACAATAATACATACATGCATACATACATATTTTAGTAAATACATATATGTGTGTTTGTAGAAATGACTGCATGACCTTAAAAGTTCTAATAAGTAACTGTGCTGAGAAATCGAAATAAACAAGAAGAGAGTATCTCTCGTTCCAGCTCTGTCCACTCTTGGCCAAAAACAATAATCAAAACTGTGTTCAGCAAATCGAGTTCATAATGGAAACAGAAAAAAAAACCGAAATATAGTAACACACACACACACACACACTCGCATACTTTTGACTGAAGCCTTGTATTTTTCTGCGAACTCGTTAAAGCCCGCGCGCATCAGTCTCTTAAGAAATAAAGTCTATCGCAGCTGTTTTTGTGAGTCTTCGCAGGCAACTGCGCTGGTGCGGGTGAGTCACAACAGCGTGCGTGTTAAAACATTCATGAGCTCCAACAAACCAATCGAGACAATATGACAAGTGAACGTCATATCGAGCGCGTCAGCATGCTCAGCGCTCAGCGCTCAGCTGTAACGCTGAATAAAATTTCGTATCGAATTTGAATGAAGAGTTTCGAGTTATAATTAATATATTTATTTATGTTAATTTGTCACTTTTTGCTCAATCATTTGTTAACAGCCAAGTTGCTAATTTGTCTACATACATGCATATGTATTATATATATGTATAAAGGTAATATTTTTGTACGTATGTATGTGTGTGGATAATTAAAAATCAGTGATCAATTAAAAATTTCCGGTAGAGTATGGGAAATTCCAAATTTTTCGGAAGCTACAATGATACACTTGCGCATATATACGCATACATATATACACGTGTATGTAAGCGTGTGTGCGTATGTCGAAAGCTATACCAAATAATAATAACAACAATAAAAATTGTGACGCTGTGAGTAAAATCTCGCACTGTGCATATATTTAACCGGATTGTCTGCATTTTCCAGTATTGGAATTAAATAAAAATCTATTATATTTAAATGACTAGTGCAACATTACCGTTAAGCGGCGATTTTAGACGAAACTTTGTGAAACACTTGTGTTTAGAGACAACCGTAAACGTGGAAGTAAAAGGTGATATATGTACATATGCACATACATAGGCACCAATAATCGAGCAGTTCATACATCTGCACACACAGACACACACACACATATACACCACCATCAGTATACGTGTATACCCCACACCCTCTTCGGGTCAAATAAGCCGCAAAGCTGAAGATAAAAAATACGCCCAGTAACCCCGCCGTCGTCGCTTCCATCAATAGTACATCAATACAGCAGCAACAACAACAACAACAGCAGGTGGTTCGATCTCATAACGGTACACACGCCACACACCACCTGCCGCCGGAATCGACGTTGCAGGCGGTGCAACCAGTGCCGCAGCTGGTTGGATATAACAACAGCAACAGCAGCAGCAACAACAACAACAACAACAACAACGAGAGAACCAACTCCAACGTGGCCGCCGTTGGTTGTCTACGTCCGATTTCTACCGCCCCCGTTTATCCGAACGCCGCCAAAATTGCGCCTTACCAAAGACGAATGCATTTGCCGAGCGCAACGGCTGCGGTGTACAGCGGCGGTGCAACAACTGGACTCGGCCTTGGTGGTGGTGGTGGTGTCGGTGTTGGCGGCGGCGGTGGCGGTGGCGGTCTCGGTGGCGGTGGTGGTGTTGCTGGTACCATCGGTATAGGTATTGGTGTTGGTGTTGGTATTGGTGATACCGTTGGTCATAATGTTGGCAGTTTAATTGGTAATGGAGCCGCCGCTATGGCTACGTCGTGTACCTCACCGATGGATTGGTGTGGCGCCGCATCAGTGCCGCAACCATTACCGCCGAGTAATGCGAGTGTTGGTAGTAGTTCGCCGATAGGTGGCGCTAGTAATGGTACGGCTCATAGTAGTAATAGTAATACAAATAGTAGCAGTAATAATAATCATGCCAACAACAACAATAATCATAACAGTAGCAATAATAATAATGCGAACTATCAGGAACTGTGGTGGACGGAGCGAATGGTGGAGATGGCGCACGAGAAATTTCCCAACGAATTAGGTGAGTATTTTAGTTTGTAACACAATAAATATGTGAATACATCGTCAGACCAGGGTTTGGGAAGTGAAGTTCACTCTGCCTCCAAAAAGGTGATCGCAGTAGAATCACGTTCTGGTTCTGATTCTGGTGGCGCCATGTCAAAGAAATTGCTATCCCTTAGCGTATTTCTGATAAGAATAATAGTTTTGCATTAAAACTCAGCTGAAGCTTTACAGGCACGGCTTTCGTGAGGAGAGGAAAGGAAGTTAACATCAATGTTAGATGGAATTGAGTTCAACTCCACTAGATTGCATTTCCTCTTTCACGATGCAGCGTTTTGTTTCGCTGTTAATCTTCTTCGAGCCAGCAAATGGGGATATGGTTGTTGAAATACACAAAGTGCAGTCCAACAGTCTTTCACGTGCCTGAAGTACTGCTTGCGACTTCTTAACTCGCTTGCCCACATTAAGCCTTCCCTATAACTGCAGTCTAACACGATTCTCAGTGCGGTGGGAGAGCCAAGGCATACAAGAAGACCGTAGCCACTTGCGATAACCGAAATCTCATTTGCTCAGGCTGTTCCATTTCTCTGTAAGAATGGCTGCAATCCCAACTAAGGAGTGGTGATACTTCTCTACCTTATTGAGTGCCTTTATTCATCCTCGACTAGGTTTCATTGCGCGTAAATATTCATACAGCTTAATATGGAAAACAGCCATAGAAAGACCGTTCTGACGCTTCACTAAACTAAGCCATCAGTTCAAGCTTATTTAAAGACCTTATTATAGTCTTCACTTCCAAAGAAGGTTTTTAGAACAGTTTCGAAAGCCAATTAAAGCTTCTTTTTAATCTTTTGTAACGTTGTTTTTTATTGCATATCCTATGTATAGAGGTGTTGTGCTATCAAGAATAGGCTCTCGATCTACGTTTTGATTAATTCGCCCAGCCAATAGACGCTCCAATGTTTTCAAGAAGAATAAAGTCAAGCTGAGGTACTAACTTTCTCTTACGCAAGAGCATTGATATTCTTTTCGCAAATTGAAGTAAGTCATTTTGGCTTCTTGGTCATATTCGACTGAAGTTCACATCCTTTCTGCGCCAAGTAAGCATAATTTTTATCAGGCGAATTCTGGAAACTTCCAAATTGTGTGGATACACTGTTTCCAGATATTCCCTATATTTCCTTATTGACTTCAGCAGCCGCGGTAGCCGAGTGGTTAGCATTGCGTACTAACATTCGGAAGGCGCTGGTTCAAATCTCGGTTCCACAAACATCAAAAAGTTGTGGAAAATTAATTTAAATAAAAAATTAAGTTAAATTTTCTAATTGCGGCCGCCCCTCGGCAGAGAATGTCCACCCCTCCGAGTGTATTTCGGACATGAAAATCAAAAGCTCCTCATAAAAAACCAACGATCGTTCGGAGGCGCCTTAGTATAAACTGTAGGTCGCTCCATCAAGACGCGAAATCACAAATGGTAAGAGAAGCTCGGTCGGAAAATTGCTTCTGCGGTTACACAGCGCCAATTATATATTGACTTCAAAGGCGTCTTTACTACTAGTGAGAACTTAGTAAGTTTAGCATTATATCTTTTGTATACAGTGTTCGGAACTCTGTAGTACTTTACTCGTTGCCAAATAATATACGCTTGACGAAGCAGGACTACATCTTGGAACTGTTACAATAGGTTCATGCAGCGTGTTTATTTAGAAAATTCATAACCGTCGTATTTCATCAGTATGATGAAACCACGCTGGAGCTGCTATACTATATGATCTAAATCAGTTACCCCCTGCGGGTTAGGGGCTCAAGAATTTACCCGCGGTAAGGCATGCCTGTCGTAAGAGGCGCTTAAAATCCAATGGTTATCGCGACAGTTGGGTCTTTATACCGGAATGACCCGGATTTTTATCCCGTCAAGGACTGTCACTCCCGCAACACTCCCCAAAAAGTACCTTGGGGAATATTTTTGCGGTTAAAACAACAACTACATCTAAACCAGTTCTGGCAGTGCCCACCTTGGGACATCCCACTCTAAGGTGAAAAATGGAGATTGATCATTTGGAAGTATTCTCAGCAGGTTTGGAGAGTCATTAAAGAGAAGTTAGAATTATCAAACAACTTTCCCCTTTTTTGTATTGTTCTTTAGTTTTTTGATGTGTCAAGTGGTTGGTTGTGGCAAAGAAAAATTGATATTGGATGAGTGCATAAGTTCGTGCCCGATTTCAAGTGCAAACTAAAATTGAAATTTTTTGAAGAAAGCGCTTTTATTAATCAATTATGTATTCGCCATCATGTTCGGAAATCCACTCCCAACGTTCAATCAATTTACGGATGCCTGATTCATAGAAATCGCGCGGTTTCTCGTTTAAAAAAGGTGTCAAGGTGGTTTTTGACGTCTTCCACATTTTTAAATTTTTCTCCATTCAAATTGTTCTGCAGCGATCGAAAAAATAAAAAAAAAAAAATAAAAAAAGTGTCGTGCGCCAAAAAGCTGACTAAAATCACTGCTCAAATATGGTAATTGATATAGGATAATAAGAAAATATTCAAAATAGTAATGAGTATATGCATATAGTACCATATACTCTTATACGCTGTTTTACATTTTATATAATATAATAAGGTTTCATTCCGAAAGTGTAACTGGAGCCTTCTGATATCGATATGGCTCGAGTTTATCTACATACATATAAATACATATACCTGTATTAATAATTTATGAAAAAAATTAAATATTTTTTTAATTGCGATGAGATCGTTTTTTAGACGAAATTTACTGACTGTCATTAATAAATTTCTTTCGCATGGTCGTGGGAAAGCTAGAGAGATATATTTAAGACGCAGTTATTTGATATTATTGTACATATGTATATACAGCCTTGGCCAAAAGTTTTAGGCACCCCCACTAATTACTGAATTTTTTGTTTTAACAAGTGAAGTAATGAAGTTTTATTAGTAAAACAGTGAAAATACAACGAATTAGCGATAATAACATTAATATTTTGTAGGTCCACCCTTCGATTTAATAACGGCAGCAATTCTCTTAGGCATGCTGCGTACAAGCTTTGCACTTTTGTCCGCACTTACAGCGTACCACCCGTTAATTAAGGCATTCTTTAAGGCAGTTTTTGTTGTTCTGCTGTGTTCTTTAATCTTGCGTTTTAAAATAGCCCACATGTGCTCAATGGGATTAAGAACTGGAAACTGTGCAGGCCAATCTAATAAAACAATGTTGTTATCACTAAACCAACGCATCGCTGATTTGTGACATGGAGCATTTTCTTACTGAATTTGAACTCCGTCTAAATTAGTATTGCCGAAAAGGCGCATTAACGAAAGCAGAAGGGTAAGAAGCTATGGCTTAATTAAGTTTACCTCAAAGTTTGATTCATCCAACCACAGAAGGTTCGACTAATCTTCTTCCGTGAAATCTTGGTATCGGCGAGCACATTCCAAACGTTTTTACATTATTCTCTTCTGAGAGCAACGGCTTCTTTCGGGCTTTACGTGCTTTTTAACCAGCTTTCAGAAGTCTTCTTCCAGCTGTTTGAACACTTACTGGTTTACTAAATTCATCCGATGAAAATTGTTTGCGATCCTTGAGAGACTGCCGTATAAGTATTCGGTCTTCTCGTTTACTGGTTAGACGCTTTCTTCCACTTCTTGTTTATTTGGGATTTCGTCTCCACAAATCGCCTGATAGCATATTGGACCGCGCACCGTGAACATCCCACCAAATTGGCAATCTCAACCTGAGACTTACCTTCTTCACATAGAACTTGAATTCAATTTTCAATTTTGTTTATCAAAATTTCTTTAGTATTTCAATGAGCTTACCACTCTGCATAAATAAAATTAAAATTATAGAAGAAAGTTCTGGGGGAAAAAGTCCAAGCTAGAACTGCAAAAGCTAAAGCCCGAAAAATTTCCAACAAAGAGCAATGAACGAGTGTGCGAGTACAAGTTGCTCAAATGCTCGAGCAGCTCGAAAATTTTCGAACATTATGAGCTCTACTTTCTATATCACCTTGCATCTCGCAATCTAATTAATGCCCTGCCATTCTATCCGTCAACGAGTCAATATTCTATTATGCAGAGGCAGACTTTATGAGTTAATGCAATTAAGGCAGGACCTTAGGAACCATTTTGGAAATACGAAGAGGCTTCGATGAAACAGATGGCTTAAACCGCTGATAGCTTCTCTTTTGTAGTAGAACGGGGTAGGAGTACGCCTAGAGATTGATCAAAAATCAGCTCGTCCGGATTAATGAAAACGCCTGCAAATATATAGTCTCTACATAGTTAATTCTGTTATGTGCGAAAAATTAAAACCTGCTTAGGCCAGGCCTGATACCGAAGATTGGGAAACAAATCCGAAGAAAAATCGTAACCGGCCGTCGTAAGGAAGATTATTTCATTAGAGCTGTACATGTTATACTGAATCTTCTTTGGTCAACTGCATGAAACAAATTGAAATCATCCGGAAACAACTGCCAGAGCCTAATCTGATTTATTGAAAAATCTCTCAATGTAAGGGATTGACACTTTGGTGCTCGCCTGGTAGGTAGATGGATAGTAGTGCAGACTCACGGGTTGCAATTGGTACTAGTTGAGCCATTTTAATGCACTATCGTAAGACCTTTCTTTATTCCAACGTTATCTCCAGCCAGTTGGTGCTTTCAATGAAATTACTAGATGTAGGCAGCCATTCCAGATTTGGTACCTGATGCTTTCCAATTATTCTATATTAGGTTAGTGTGTTAGAGCTTAGCACACGTTCTCTAAATGGACCATACCCTATTTAGTAGCTGTGAATTAGTCTATATTTTTTCTGGATCTATTTAATAAGTACTTAGCAATTGTTCTTTCATACTTGGGATATGTATATCAGCTTCGTTATCTTGTGTTTGCTTATAGATTTCCATCTGTCCTCCAGCTGGTTTTTCAAATTGTGTAGAAAGCTCTCTTTTTATCGTTCCTAGCGCACATGGATTTAACTTTGCCTCGAATTCGTCTAGAGAAGCCAAATTATTCTGTTTATTCCTGTTACTTGGAACCCAGCTTATGTATAATTAGACCTGACCTGCCAGCTGGAACGAATTTTTGGCGACGACAAGTCCAACATACCGCCTGGAGGTCTGTTTATATGGTAGATTTTTGTGTTCAATATAGCGCCACAGGTCTTCTCTATGTCTAGTACTTCTGCCTGTAAGATGCTAGTTAAGTTTGGTAGACAATCGTATAGAGATAATATCCTGCTACCTTGAGTAAACTCTTCTCCAAACAAGTGTAGAGTATTGAAATTCAGCCTTGCGAGGAAATAATATGATTTCTTTAAACTTGTTTTAAGCTGGTTCAGAATATCGTTGTTTGTTTTGGTGCAAATTTTTTTAAAATTTATTAACCGAAATTAGTCGACTAAGTGGAGCATCAAACTCCGTGGTAATGTCAACAAGTTATCATTGATTAGACACTCAAAAGCGCTCGAAAGGTACACTGTAGGGCGCAAATCCTCAAAAAAGGGGGAATAAAACGATGGCTGTGAGTTAGATGCGGATTGGCGGCCGTGGTAGCTGAGCATTGCTCACTGACATTCGGAACGCTCTAGTTTATAGCCCGATGCCACCAATATCCAAAAGTTATGGAAAATTAATTTTAATAAGAAATTAAGTTAAATTTTCTAATTGCGGTCGCCCTTGGCAGGGAATGTCCACCCCTCCGAGAGAATTTCGGACATGAAATCAGAGCTCTTCGAAAAAAACCATCAGCCGTTCACAGGCGGCTCAGTATAAACTGTGAGTCTCTCCATTTGTTGGAAAAGCATCAAGACGAAAAAACAAAAAATTGGAGGAAGAGCTCTTTCGAAAAATCGCTTCAGCGGTTACAAAGCGTAAATTATATAGATACGGATAGTTCGAAGCTTGTTAGGAATGTATGTGGAAGTGTCTTTTCATATTGCCACACAAAACAAGCCTTTTCTGTCTTGGAAACCTTACCATAGTGACACAAAGGCATATTTTAAGTAAACGAACTTGCTTGCTCTAGGCAAACTCGGACGAAATGGGATCGGAAGAGGTCAAGTGAGATGTACTCACTTAGAAGGTAGATCGTCTCAGAGGTAGTACGACTGTCTGTTAGGGCGTCAAGAAGAAGCGCGCTAAGGGTCGCATCAACAATAACGAGCCAATCCTGTCCCTACTTCGCGATTCGTCGCCAAATCGAGCCCAATTATGTACAGTGACGTCTCATCAATTCCAGTTTAGCTCAGTTTAGCTTTGCATACAAAAGGGGGTATGTATGTATGTATTCATTAAATGAGCCAAAATTTCATAACTTCTTTTGATACCTAGACACACAGCATAATTAATGAGGACAGCCAGGATAACGGCTGTCAACAACAACATGCCAAATAAATAACACTTTAATTAAATAATATTTATGAAAATTACACGTAATTAATTAATCTTCATGCCACCAATTTCATCTACTTCCAGTACGCACCAACAATCCCTATTTCTTGTGCTCCAAACTGCCACCACATTGGCGTGCGAACAAAACGTTGCCCAACTCCTTCAAAGTGGTGGCACTCTCTGAAGTCGGCGACGGCACAACGGTGACGATACGCGCGGGCAACGATGAGAACTGCAGTGCGGAACTGAAGAACTGCCAAGCGACGATGAAGGATCATGTGGCCAAGTTTAATGATCTGCGCTTTGTGGGACGCAGCGGTCGAGGTGAGTGTGATTGACAGCAAAGAAAGATAAAAAAAGTGTAGTGAGGATTTGAGAAAATCAGAAGCAGCGGCGGGTGCAACTTCAGCAGTCAATAACGAGCCAATATGGCAGCGTTTAACTTCCGGCAATGCACTTACAGCTTTTGAGTCGAGCGAGCGAAGGAACGCATTTTACGTCACCTTAAGTGAGACAAATAAATACATAGCTGCAAATGAAGTGAACGAGCGGGCGTATATACTGCGCTGCAGATATACATACATATGCTTGTACACACAAATATAAGTTCAAAAATTATGCATTGGCGAGACCGAGCCTGCCTGCCCAACCAGTGAGGTCCACTCACAGAAGTCGTCACATTATGTCCGTAAGCCCGAGGGCACCAGGCACTTACTGAACATTTTCATGCACCAAACACATGCATACTGGTACATACATACATACATATGAACATAAGCATGTAGGATATGCATAAGCTCCGCAGTAGTCTTTTAGGCTCTTTTGCAACCCTTGTAGAAATTACAAAGAAAATATTTCGTCTTTCGCATTTCGCACCGACCAAATTGCATTCAGCCACCGACCGAGGTGTAATTCTGCAGCAGCAGCAACAGCGAACGGAGAGCGTGTTACAGTCCAAAAACTGCACCAACTGTCATCTCCCATCCATCACGTGTCCATGACGCTTAGCTTAGCTGTGGCTGTGGCTGTGACTGTGGCTGTGGCTGTGGCTGCAGTCGAGTCGGTCAGGCAATTCAGCAGCCTATGACATCATGTTGCTGCACTTTGCCAATTGTGCTGGCTACTTCTTCTACCGCTTTTACATAGTATTCTTAGTCGAAATTGAAGAGCAGCAGACGCACACACACATACGTATATATATATATATATATATATGTAGAACTCATTCTTGACACGCAACACAAATTTTTGCCATCAATAATCGATTTTAAAGTATATGCGTTTGGTAATTATTGTAGTTGTTATTGTACTGCGATTGCAACATGTCATCTTTATTGTGTTCATTTTATACTTGGCCGACGTTGAGACAGGTACTCGTAGCAGTAGTGGCATGGCGTGTTGCAAATGTTACGTAGGTTCATGCAAACTGCTCTCGCGACAGCTCGCTAATTTTCTGACTCTTCTTCTTACTTCTCTTCAGCCGAAACTAACAATTAATGCACTAGAAAATGCACGCAACCCACTGACAAATGGCATGGGGCATGGCACAGCGCGGCACGTGGAACAGTTGGCCGTAGCGATGCAATATGTTGCAGAATGGCTCAAGTGTTGGTGGCAGCGTGTTTATTGTACAAATGTTTACATACACAAGTGGATTATGATTTATATATTTTTATATTTAATTTTGAGTAATTTTTTTCTAAATTTACATCGACTTAAAGTATTCTACAGGAAACGTCAATTCTTCGGTCGATTTCAAGATGAAAAAGCCACCTTAAAAATTATTGAACAAAAACAAGAAACTAGAGACATACATAAATGTACTGGTAGGTACATACAGTGAAGGACTAAAGTCTACATACATCCAGAATTTTTAATGTTTTCTACAATTTGTATATTAAATGGGAAAACTAATGATGCAGTTTTGGTTAATATTCATATTTATTCAAGAAAAAAACATAACAGAAATTATTTCAGTCGCTTGATAACGGAAAACTTCAAAAAAAATAAAAATAGAAAATTAGATGACAAAATACGAGGTGTGTTCAAAAAATATCGCGAATTTGGTGTTTTTTCAAAAATTATTTATTTATTCATGAATATCTATTTTGTCCCCTTCAAAGTAATCCCCATGAGATATTATACACTTGTGCCAACGGTTTTTCCAATCTTCAAAGCACTTCATAAAATCATTTCTTTTTTATCTTGTTCAGCTCCTCCTTCGATGTCGTCTTTATCTCGTCAATCGTAGCGTAACGTCGTCCTTTCATGGGCCTCTATAGTTTAGGGAACAAGAAAAAGTCACAGGGGCCAGATCTGGGGAATACGGTGGCTGCGGCATCATTAGTGTGTTGTTTTTGGCCAAAAAGTCGCGCACAAGCAATGATGTGTGAGCAGGGGCGTTATCGTGGTGCAAAAGCCAATTTTTGTTCTTCTACAAATCCGGGCGTTTCTGGCGGATTGCTTCGCGCAAATACTCCTTATTGACCGTTCTACCCTGTGGCAAGAACTCATGCTGCACCACGCCCCTGCAATTAATTTTTTCGTCTGTTTTTGAAGTGCTCGGGCGTCCGGCACGCTCTTCGTCGTTCACATCTTCTCGGCCGTCTGAGAACATTTTGTACCACCGGTAAACGTTGCTTCGGCCCAAGGTAGCTTCTCCGTATGCCATAGTCAACATTCGAAATGCGTCCGCGCACTTAATTTCGTTTTTCACACAAAATTTGATTCAGGACCTTTGATTCATTTTTTTGAAAAGGTAAAAAAACGAAGACCATCCAAAACACGTGCAAGCAAAGCGACTGTCAACAATTAAGGGAACATTCAAAATGGCCGAGCTTGTCGGCATAAGTGACAGACATGAGTAACAACAAAACGCCACAAAAAAATCGAAATTCGATTATACATAACCCGCGAAAGTTCAAAATTCGCGATACTTTTTGAGCACACCTCGTACACCTTAGTTTTAACACAAAATAGCTCATAAACCCTAAATATGTAAAATTTTGAATAATTTGTTGTTGTCTATTACTGCTTGAAAGCATCGTGGCATCCGGGATAATTTGGGCCCATACACTTTTTAGGTGGGTTTTTAATGAATCCGCGTTTGTTATTCGAAGTTACCGAAGCTTCCTTTCCAAAACCTCCCATTATGCTCTATCAGGTTTAAATCTGGGTATATAAAGTTGTCTGGGTGCGTAGTATAAGAGCCATTCATTTACAGATTTTGCAGTATGCTTGGGATTGTTGTCTTATTGGAAAGTCCAGCTTTTCCCAAGCCCCAAACATTCCACTGATGACTTCAAATGTTGGTTCAACAAACTTTTTTATTGAATTCGAACCATATTACCTTCAATAAATGCCAGCTTTCCAACGCCAGACGTTGCTAGAGCTCCCCAAACCATGCTTCACGGTGGGTAGTAAATTTTTAAGTTCCATTTCAGAATTTTCTCTCCTCCAGATTTTGCACCGACCATCACTTCCGAATGTTTTATACTTCGATTCGGCCGCAAATCAAACTTTTGACTAAAACTCCATTCCTTTGTCAATGTGTGCGCGTGCCAACTCCAGTCGAAGATTACGGTTTTTTTCTGATATTAGTGTTTTTTTACGGGGTGTCCTACTGTAAAGTCCTTTGCTATTCAGTGTCATGCATACAGTGCTGGGTTGGATACTTTTTCCGGCTATATTTGAAATGTGGTTATCTATTTTTGGAGCATTAAGTCTTGGATTTGTATTCACCTCTTTTGAAATCGAACTCATATCCCTCCTGAAAAGCTTCTTTGGCCTTCCTGTCCGCGCTTTGCTCTCGTACGATTTAGTCGTATTGTAATTTCTAATAACAGCAGTTTGGACTGTAGATCTACATAAGTTTAATATTAGCTGTATGCATTAATTTCTGCGGTTTTCTAAGCGAGGGCTCTACTAGTATTATTTCGCGCCGTGTTCTTCTGTGGCTATATTCATTTCAAAGGTACTGTCATTTCGCGTCGTTTTCAGTAGATGTCATTTGCTTTAGCGTGAACAACAATTTGTTTCATTCATTTCAAAATGTCGAAATTTGTACCAGATAAAGTGTTTTTGCGGGGAGTTCTTCTTCATTACTTTAACATGAAGAAAAGTGCTACCGAAAGGCATCGTATTATACTGGACGTTTATGGTGACCATGCTTTAGCCGAACGAACGTGCCAAAAGTGGTTTGCACGGTTCAAAAGTAGCAATTTTTACTTCGACGACGGACAGCCAAAAAAATTTCAAGACGAAGAATTGGAGACATTACTCGACGCAGATACATGCCAGATGCAAGAGGAACTTGCAAAAGTATTAAGAGTTAAATCAAGCAACCGTTTCAAGACGATTAAAATCATTTTCTCACAATAAAGTCTTAATTTTTGAAAAAAAAACCGCGCGAATAGTTTTAAAATTTCACCCTAAGTTTTGTTGTCCTGTCTGTGTTTTACTACCAAGTGCTTCAATTCAGAAGATATTTCCTTTTTTGGTGCCTTTTTTTCTATTCAACTGGTACAGCCATAAAACACAAACTAAATCGTTGCTTGTGGTATCTACTTCGTAGTAGTCAACCAAAAAATTTTAATAACGGCATATTTTGCAAGGCTTGTATTGATCATTTATACCAAGTGCACTGTATGTAGACTTTTGCCATCTTAATTTTTTCTGTTTATCGTTATCGTTTTCCGTCATTTAGCGAATTAATCAATTTCTTGTTTATTTTTTTTATGAATAAAATTAACCAAAACTGCATCATTAGTTTTCCCTTTTAATATTCAAATTGTAGGAAACAGGAAAAACTGTGGCTGTATGTAGACTTTAGTCCTTCACTGTACATACAAATAATACTTATGAATATGCGAATCGTCTTATTAGTGGTAGGCGTGGCCTGTGTTTAGGCACAGCCAATTATGAAAGCAAATCATTATTAAATGTGAGTTCAAAACATTATTTTGATGATCTAAATTCGAATCTGACTAATACATATATTATATTGTATATACATATGTACTTTAAATAATGAGGAAGCTTTATTTGAGAATGGGTGGGGCTTATATAAAAATTCCACTTATGTTCGATACAGAAAACATACATATGTACATACCTACGTAAGAACCACTTATTTATATACCTATAAAGAAGGCATGACTCTATGGGTTTGCATTTATTGAAAAGTTAAATTTGTCACTTCTAGGACTCTAGGATATTGGCGAACGAAATTTTTTTCTTCTGCTCACAGAGTACCTTTGGGTACTAGAAATGATGCAATTGGTCTTGAGGTGAAAAAAATATTTCAAATAGCTCTAACTTTTTAT